CACTGGAGACTAGTAATTTTCAGTATCATGGAGTAATGATGCTGAAAATTCAGCTTTGCCATCACAGAAATAAATTACATTTTAAAATATATTAAAATAGAAAACAGTTGTAATAATGTTTAACAATATTACTTACAATTTTACTGTATTTTTTATCAAATAAATATAGCTGTGGTGATATAAGAGACTTCTTTTTAAAAAATCGTACCAAACCCAAACTTGGTATTGTATGTATTAGTAAATTAACATGTTATTTATTTATTTTTTTTATTTTTTTTTTTTTGTGTGAGTATAAATCTGCTGATCGTGTGATTCAGGTGATGTTAACTCACCCAATCACATAGAGGTCAGTGGCCGGCTGTGAGTCAAGCTGCAGTAATGACCTCACATCAGCTGGTGGCTCCGCTGTGCCAACATTCCATGTGACCATGTGCAGCCTGAACAAGAGAAGAAGACACAAACAGAGCAGCAATGAATGAATTGGGTTCATATAAACTCTGAATTTAATATCTGAGAAAAACTTTGGGGAAAGAATACGAAAAGATAATGTAAAGCTAAAAATGCAACGGACTTGCTAGCAAATCACCAACAAAATCCACACCTTCTATTACTCCAACACAAGTCTATCTAAAACTAATTTTCAATGACTTAGTACACCTGATGGTCTCTCTGTTGGTGTATTTTCCACAGAGGTAAAAGGCTTCGTCTAGCGTACGGGACACTTCCTCATTTGCCTCATCATCTGAGCTGAGATCTTCTAAGCAGACGAGCAACTGAGCGAGCCGCTCGCGAAGAATCATCCGTGATGAAGTAGACTGAGATGCCATGGTGGACGTACTGTCAGAGCGCACACGTGGGACATCAAATGTGTCAGACATCTTTTTGCTGTTCTCCCAAAACAACTGATAATCTGAAGCCTGATTCATCCAAACCAAGAGATCAGCTGAAGTGAGTAGATTTCTTATTTGATTCTCTATCGTATTGCTTGTGTTTTCTCAGCTTCAGAGGTCCAAAAAAGTTCAAATGTCTATAGGTGTCCAAGAGCTGGTTTAGGTTCAGCAGATGCAGATATCCCAGGTTTTGTTCAAGCGACACGCCTACGTGCTGTAGTTCCAAGATTCATATTTCTTCTCAGAAACAATTCATTATCCTTTGACCCCAGAAAGCTAGCAATTGCAATAAATATAACCCTTTTTGTTGATCCACATGTTCTCATTGCATCTTGTTGCCTGAATGGACGAGTGTGTGTAAAAGCATGCGTTTTGGAGAGTGTTTGGGATTATGAAGTGTAATCTGGAGCAGTGGAGAGCCACGTGAATGAGGCCAGGAATACAAAATGCAAAAATCACTAACAGGCCTGATCTCCAAATCACTGTATGTATTGTTGCAGGTCTTTAGCAACGCAAGTAAATGTCCACAGAAGCTAATCCGCTTTATGCAAGAGCTGGCCTCAACACTGTGAATATTTCTTGGACTCTACTAAATAAATAAATAAGGTAATAATTTTGCAACCGATGGGGGGGAGGTGTTGTCTAAGATCTAAATTAAATCTTAAAATGTGAGAGCATAATGCCAAACTTTGTTAACAAACTAGCATTTTTAAATTAACTCTGAGAGAGCTAATTTTTACTTCCTTGGAGTTAAATGTTACTCTATCAGAGTTGAATTAACCTTCTTGCCTAACAAATTCAACAACAGTATGTGAGACTGCGTTCCAGATTACTTGATGAGCACATTTATCCACTGCTTTTAAATTGTGGTTATCTGCGACTTATAGTATTGACGTTTGTATTATTAAAAATGTGTACATATATTATAAATATAAATTAAATATGTATTATTATACATTAAATATTTATGAACATCTGATGTAAAATTATTAAATTAAATTATTAAATTAAAAATAATAATAAAGTCTGTTCAGTGTTCAGGTGCCGACATAAATCTTTGCCAATTTGTGCTCATCTGTACACCTTACTTTTTTCCCCTGCTTAAACCAGGAAAATTGTACTAGGCAAACAAATACTAATACATTCGTCTAAAATAACAATATAATTCTCAAATGCAGGCTAACTATCTTTCCACCCCGTTGCTCTAATACAGTCACATGCGAATTCTTAGGAGCAAAGAAGCATTCAGCAGCAGAGAGAAAGAAAAAGAGCAGGCACATAAAGGCAAAGCAACTGGTCTTGTGCCAAATTGTAAAACTTTTGAGAGAAACACCAACATTCACAATTTGGTTCCATGCAAAAAGAAACAAGTCAGTATGGGCAATAAAACCGATTTAACACACTGAACTCCTTTTACTTCCCGTCCATCTCAGTTATCTAAGCATAATTTCTTTCACCTCACTCTTGTCTATCTTTAAGTGAAGTAGGGTTCATTTCATTGATCAAGGATGGTGTTGTTACCTGAAAGCCTGATGTCCATCCCTGGATCCAACATGTTGTGCGCTCATACTCAGACCTGTGTACACAAAAACCACACAAACAAGCATACATGGTAATGTAAACATTAATCTAATCTAAAAGAGTTTTTAAAATGATTTAAAAATATATCTGGGGGTTAACTGATTATTATATGTTCACTGAAAACGCTCGAGCGCAGTATCCTACTGTTGCTATGGTTACGGGCAAAAGTGACTGTTCGCGATTTTTGTGCTGTACGTAGCTGTAATATAACTTCTATGATTAGCCTACCGAAATGTTATTTGATAGTAAAAAGAATACTCGACATACATCGACACTTGTTCACGGCTTGAATGGGGGGTAGTAAATGTATAAACGTTTTTTTCCAGAAAGCATAACAGTCTAATCTCTCCCTTGTATCAGTTTTATGTAACAACGACTTGTTGTTGTTTGTCACACAACATTCAAATTAAAAAGTGGGCTATATTTAAACAGCCATCGAATAAACTTAAAATATTTAGGGATTTACAGGTTAAAATGTTCCGAAAACTTAAATAAGCTCCTCTAAAGCTACCGTAACGAAAGCAAAATTAAACTTTGAATGAAAAATCTTACCTTTCAGTCTCGGTCTTGTGGAGATTTTACAGGTGTCTTGAATATCTATTCCGTACTTAACAGGTGCTATAGGACAGTGTGAGAGTTTGGGGTACGTGTTTACACCCCTTTACTTCCTCACTGTCCGGCCAATCCACAGAAACCTCTTAAAGCCGCAGAACTTTACTGTTTCATCATATAAACGCCTGAAAGCTTTGGCTAAGTTATGAAAGACTTGACTGTGTCTAAATCGATTTGGTATATATCGCAATCCTTTTGATTAGGGCATGAAACAGAGGGTTCTCTGTTCATTGAAAACAAATGTTTTTATATGCAACATGAATTTAAAATATTTGCCGTCAAAGTGTTTTCTGCATTGACAGTTAATCTGTTTAAAAGTTTTATAAAGGATATGAAATCTGAGTTGTTGTCAGGAGCTGTTATACTTAAAATATCTTAAAAGAGTTACATCAATATGAACTTATTCGACTTTATTTAAAGTCCATAAACTTGTTTTTGGACACCACTGTGATGATAATAATGTGGTTCATGCAGACGCCGTGATTTAAGTAAGGGGCACATTATTTTTTTCTTTTCTTTCTGTAATCAGTTTAAAGAAAGAATAATAAACATGCCAGCCTATCAAATCTGATCTAAATGAGGACTTCTAGGACCAGAGATTAAGGGTAAATTTCACCGTCCAACAATCCCATGGCTCTTTGCTTTCTTTAATTATCTCAGAGCTGAACGAATCGATTTTTATTGCTACTGAGTATAATTAATAAATACATTTAATAAACATTTAAACATGTCACATAGCTGTAACTGTGAAAATGAAATCCAAATGTCTGAATCAAACACATTCCCCTTTCTGAAGGCCTCATACGAAGGGGTTAGTTAAATCTGGCTTCATCTCTTCAAATCCTGATTAGACTGAAAGTTTCACTTAATGAAGGGAGGGATTGCAGTGATCCTTTTTCTTTATGATGTGTGCTTGTTTATGTGTTTGTCCTGAGTGGGGTCATTGAATGGGTTAGGTTAAAGTAACTAGACATGTTTACTGTGGAAATTAGATGAAGAAATGGGTTTTATCAATAAATGATGGTGAAAAGTTGGGAGGTCGGAAAATGTTGCAAGCCAGATTCAAACACACGTTACATGAGCACCACAGCTCAGTGTGTAAGTGCACTAACCACTAGGGGAACAACTCTGATGTTAAGCATACAACTGAAAAATGTTTGATCAAAGAAGAAAATGTACAAATCTACAGGGGAAAAAAAAACAATATTGAATATGTATTTTTTTAAAACTTGAGGTATGTAAAGAAGTAAAACAAACATTTATTTTTAAAAGTTAATTTATTTTTTCACATCTCCAATGTAGTTTTATTGGAAGATAAGATGACAAAAGGCACAAATTCACAGTAAAAGAAAAAAAAAAACATGACATGACAGGGTGGGGTGGGGTTAAACATAAATTAATAACATTTTTTTTGTATTTCTACAATCACTGGGTTTTTAATTTCGACAACAAATCGTGAAATCTAACAACAACATATCTATGAGAAAGTCCTGTTTACTATGATCTGCCTCACATAACGGTAACACAAACTGTGGATGATCAGTTCCATGTGGCTAGTTCCCTTTTATAAGCCACCTGTCTGTCATTCAAACACCAGCTTGGACTGATCAAGAACAAGTTTCATTCGAGTCTCCTGAGAGAAGAATGGCAACCTAGTCCAAAAACACCCCGAAAGGTTCTTTTCTCAAGTTCAAAGGTCATAAATGTGGCTTCATTCACAGTGTAAGCTTTGAAAGGAATTTAAAAGTGAGAGATTTCTACGGCTCACAGCAAAAATACAACAACAATCGATGAATGAAAACATATTTAGACACCATCCTGCCAAAGAGGAGCGGCCAGGGATGAGGGGCGGGGCCAGTGACAGTGATGGGCGGGGTCATCTGAAGGTTCCGTTATAGACTGTCTCAAGTTCAAAGGTCATAAATGTGGCTTCATTCACAGTGTAAGCTTTGAAAGGAATTTAAAAGTGAGAGATTTCTACGGCTCACAGCAAAAATACAACAACAATCGATGAATGAAAACATATTTAGACACCATCCTGCCAAAGAGGAGCGGCCAGGGATGAGGGGCGGGGCCAGTGACAGTGATGGGCGGGGTCATCTGAAGGTTCAGTTATAGACTGTTCAAATCAATAGTTCAAATATAGTTTTTAATAATTTTTAATTTCACCATAATTCGCCACATTCCAAACAGTAACTTCACCCACAGATAACACCCAGCCATTACTAAACCACTAGATATAATTGATGGAAGGCTGTATGTGCTGATAGCCTGGCAGGATAGTCTGAGCTATATTTATATAGTTATATATATATATATATATATATATGTTCATCTACATATATTTATATATTATATACAATTCAATACATACATCCATACATCACTTTGATTAGACTCAGGACCAACACAGTTCTGGTGTATCGGTGGTTGTATTATGACGGTACAGATGTTTTAACACGTGCAGTCTACACCATAAAACCTGCATTCACTTATTAAGAATTCAATGGAATTTTTATGAATTCAATGGAATTCTACAAGAATAATTTAATGCGCATCAATGGGTCCTGAGCATTGGCTGAAAGAAACACAAGGGTGTAAACCTCCATTCTAGTTACAGGTCGGATGTCCCTCACGCAAAAACAAGAAACACTGAGAACTTCAAACGCACATACATCCATACATCACATTACTAAGAAAAGACTGATTTAAAAACCCATGCTCAACCCATTTCATCTTCCTTACCTGATTCCAGGTAAGGAGCGATTGGAAGTGAGAGTATATTTGTATTAAAGTCCTAATGACGCAACATTCTGAGAGGGGATGGATTATACACTTCTAAAGTCACTATCTCACATCATGTATGTTGATTGGAAGGGTTTGTGAAAGGAGGTATTATTGCTAACAACTGGATAAATGTGTCTTTATCCTCAAGACAAGTAATAAAAGGGTAAGTGCGATAATCAATCCTTCAATAAAATGGACAGGAGGTGAAACATAACGTAAAATATCCTCCTTGAGCACCTCATCTGGTAGCGAACAAAATAGTCATAGTAAAATTTTATGAAAGATGTCAAGGCTAAAAGGTTTAGCTTTGCCTCTTCAAGTTCTTTCAAAGACAGTCAGCCACTGACTAAAGAAAAGGGCAGAGCCTGATCTTGTAAACCAATCAAAAACAGCCAAGGGAGAGAGAGCTACACCTACGGTACGCCTGTCTTTTTTATAAAAAAATTAATAAATAAATACAATAACTTGACTAAAATAGCACACACAAGGAAATTGTGGAAGAGATTACAATGAAACCATTAATATTGACTGATTAACAAACAACAATTCAAGAATGTGATACTGTTCAATGAGTTATAATAAACTCTGTCTTGCATTAAATTATGAACAGTACTTGCTGACATTTTAAGGTGACCAAGCAGCTGCCAGTCAAAATGAATCCACAATGCATGTTACAAATAAATTAATGGTCAGGATGACACGACTATGATTGTACAGTACTACACTATAAAGAGACACACTTACATCTTGGATCAGCTGGTACATAGGCTAAAAAGTGGGTAAAATAAAATAAAAAAATAAAGCAACAAAAACAAATCACTACAGATTAAAACAAAACAAGGAAAACCGGCTTGGTCCGCAAAAAAATTAGGAGAACAATTACTTAAAAACCCTGTTTATACATCTGTCACAATAATTCCACTGCCAATAGATATTCTGAATATATATATATACACACAAATATCATCTGCTTTACATTAAACTCATCTTAAAACACAATTCTGCCGAGCTCCATATGTTAAGGTAATGATCTGACACCATAAATGACGAACCGCTGATCGTCCCTGTATTTGTTTAAGTAGGTAGACTTCAGAAACTGGGCATGAGGATAGAACCGGAATAATAGCCTATTTAACTTGTCAATGTGCTCCATTGTCAGACTGAAAGGAGGATATGAAAGATGCTCAGGACAAACGGCCACCAAAAGAGCTGGATGAGGGACTTCGATTACGATTAAAAAGACATGTTGCTGTGTTGAGGAGAGTGATGCTGCTGGTCTCCAGTAGTTCAGGTCTGATCTGAGAAAGACTCACAGGAAATGACATGGCAGACAGAGAGAGAGAGAACAAGAACATTCATTTACTCTAAAGGTTAAACACCACAGTTATGTTCAGAATAGATTACTAACATAATGATTGAATACGGTCCAGTACATACTACCATTCAAAGGTTTGGGGTCAGTAAGTTTTTTTTTTTAAAGAAATAAATACTTTTTAGTCAGCAATGATGCATTAAATTGATCAAAAGTAATAATGTTTTTTTAAAATGCTACAACAAAATTCGTTTGAGTTTTCTATTAATCAAAGAATCCTGAAAAAAAAAAGGTTTCCACAAAACTACTAATTAGCACATCGGTTTTCACATTGATAATTCTAAGAAATGTTTCTTGAGGAGCCGATCAGCATATCAGAATGATTTCTGAAGAAGCATGAGACACTGAAGACTGGAGTAATGTTGCTGAAAATTCAGCTTTGACATCACAGGAATAAATTACATTTTAAAATATATACTCAAATAAAAAAACAGTTCTTTTAAATTATAATAGCATTTCATATTTCTGTTTTGACTGTATTTTTTGATCAAATAAATGCGAACTTGGTGAGCATAAGAAATATCTTTCAATAATACAGAAAAAAAAAACATCAGGTGACATTATCAGCTGTGGCATACAGTTACCAACTTAAAAATACTTCTAGAGATTGTGGCTAAAAATGTTTTGCCTACAATTACATCTGGTTCATTCATCACAATGGCAATGAAAGGCCAAGTTCAGTGCAATGCACTGTGGGAATATTCTATGCATACAGAAAATCTGCATACTGTACTTACTATATAAACTATATACTCCCAATAATGTTAATGTGAGTATGCTATCCCAACCATAGCCTATATGTTGAATTCATAGAACTAGGAAATATGAAATAATTTTTAAGTTCTCACTTGCTGTTTCAGATAAATGACATTAGGGGGCGCTAAAGATCATGAATTACCTTTATGAACAGCAGCATCCAGGAACACAGAGCAGCCTCAGTCTTCAAGAGCCACCATGCCTTTCACTGGATCCTTCACTCTCATCTGGAAGACAGCAATGGGAAAGCATGCATGTGTACATAAACCAAATAGCTCCTTGCGGAAGAAGAAGGGGCTAAAAATGTGATTCAGGAAGGACTTATACTGATTTTTCTTTTCCTCTGGTAGATTACAGATCACTTGTGGAAGTCAAGGAGGAGACACTTGATTTCTGGGATAGTCCTGCAAAGTATGTGAAGCTGGGGATGCCGCCAATACGTGATGTCACTCATTCCCCAAAGGCACCTGAGAGCGCTGAACTGTGACCTGCTCCGCTCTGCTGCCCCTTTTGTTCGCAGTGACTGGACCCCATTATGGGCTACATTCAATTATTCATCTGCCTTGTTACACATAATTGTCTTTGTATGGTGGGAAAATGTGTGGCAGGTCGAAGGCGACACTCAAAACACCAGAACATAAACAAAAACTCAGTCTCGCAACTAATGAATTCAGCTGTCAGTACTCTGTTAAATTCGACAACAAAATATCTCTGAGCAAATAGTTTGTTTGTCTAACTGGCTAAAATTCATCATTACCATATAAAGGCTTGTTCAAACTGAACAACAGAGATGAGGAATAATTTAAAGCGGACAAAAACAGAGTAAATGTAAATCTGCTGGAGGGCATCTCATCTGACCTCATCCAGTTCCCTCCTGGTCTCTTCCTCCATTCTGCGGATGTCGTCCATGTTCAGCTCGATCCATTTATCAATCCAACAGAACAGCTGCCGGTGGAAATTAGTGAACAAGCGCTTCTCTTGCTGTTAAAGGGAGATAGAGGTACAAAATTCATTTTGGAAGATGAATTTTATATAGGTTGAACTGATATCCACAAGATGCCATGACATAACATTTAAAGTCAACATTAAATGGTAATCACAACTGATTTTATTTACATAAAACATTAGGATGGAATTTAATTTTTATCAGGAATTAGACAACATGCTATTTATATCAGTTAATGGTAACTGTAACTTTCTGATGGCGTTTGTTTATGTGTAAAAAAAAAAAAAAAAAAGATTTTAATCAGACTTCCAGCCATACACTACCATTCAAAATATTTGGGTCAGTAAGATTTCAAGTCAAAATGCTGCATGTATTTGATCAAAATACAGTAAAAACAGTAATATTGTGAAATATTATTAAAATTTAAAACTGTTTTAATATGTTTAAATGAATAATTTATTCATGTGATGTCAAAGCTGAATTTTCAGCATCATTATTCCAGTCTTCAGTGTCTCATGATCCTTCAGAAATCATTCAAATATGCTGACTTGCTGCTCAAGAAACATTTCTTATTATTCTCAATGTTGAAAACAGTTCTGCATAATATTTTTATGGAAACCGTGACAAATTTTTTCAGAATTCTTTGATGAATATAAAGTTAAAAAAATTTATTTTTAATTTAAAATATAAATCTTTTATTAATATAAACATTTCGTAAATGTCTTTACTGTCACCTCTGATCAATTTAATGCGTCCTATTTGAATAAAAGTTTTTTTTTGTTTTTTTTAACAGTAGTGTATATTGATTGTGGCTTGAAAAGAGTTGGCAAACAACACATTTTATGTTTTTTGACTATAAAAAAAACTAAATGAATTTGAGTTGGATAAGGCAAAAATTGCGGCCTTTACCAACAAAGCCTCTATGACAGGTGAAATTAAGAGGGCCAAAAATGTAAGTCCTCTCAGTAAACTTTATTTTTAAGGAATAACATCCACAGATGAATCATACACGATCAGACCAGGAACATGCACTAAATATGATTTCATGTTAACTTTAATAAACACTTTAATCAATCACATATACTGTAGATGTTTTACACTGACCTTTTGAATAAAGTTTTCCACTTTGTTTTGCAGGCCCCACCACTTGAACTTGACAGTAACCAGTTTGTAGGCACACATGTGTGGGCAGTCTGTCTTTTTAGGTAGCTCTTTCTACACAGACCCAAAATCCATTAAGCATTTGCATATAATTTCCCAATAATAAGCTTCCCACTCATACATCAAGCATGCACTTGCTACATTTACACAAATTTTATTCAAGCACACAGCCATTAGAAGTGCTTTAAAATATATCACCCTCCAATCCGGACCGAGCGGCCCTCTTCCAGTCTTTACAGACTTAAACTTAGTGGGGTCTTCCTCTGGTTTATAGTCCTATAGACAGATAACACTGATCAGATTAGAAAGTAACAGGTAGCAATTTTATCTAAGTGAAGCCCACCTTTAGCTCCACCTGACTCCGGTCTGCAATGTCTATGTACACCACATCCACCTTCTTCCAGGTGTCTGGGTCTAGCCCGTGAACCTGTACAGATGAACACAACAATCATGCTTGAGAACATGATTGTCAGGCTTTACACAAAATTGTGGAGTTCACACACAAACTATACTCACATTTTCCTGCTGTCCCATGTCGGGTTTGTGCCACGTCTCAATCTTGATGAGGAAGTTTTCTTTCATATACTCATTCTAAAAACACAGATATTCAATGAACAAACTGATAAACCATAACTGATGGACAGACCCCGCAGTGACATATTGACGTCTGTCCTCTCTCCTTTCACTCCAGCTAAAGTTACTGTCTTCTCTTTCACTCAAACAGTGAGTGTTTGTACGTGCTTGTTCTGTACATCAACATGTTTGTTCATTCATATGACAAGTGTTACTAGAAAAATACATATTTGTGTACTTGCAAAGAGTGTATACTTACAGTAATTACTGACGGGTGATGCAGGACAGACAATGGGGGGGACAGGATAATAAAATATGAATTAGATAATTTCTAAGAAAACATCACATCTCATTTAAGACCATTTCTAATTTTATTTAACCTCATTTTAGCCCATGTGAATTTAGTCTGGAAGTAAAAATACTAAAATAATATCCATATTCAAACTTAAGATATTCAGACTGTGAATCATTATTCATAAATTCTGACTACTTAAAGTCAGCATGAAATGAAAATTCACCCTATCTATTTCTCAAATGCATGCTATTTATCTTATTGTGAACGATTCATCTAGGCATGCTTTATTATTATTATTATTTCAATTTGACATTGTAATTTATTATCAAAATGTCATAACTCAATCTCGATTCCAATAATTTAGTCTGCTTAAACTTAGTCCCTCCACAACTGACCCCACAACAACAAAAAAACTCCCACAACCTGAAATCCAATCAACAACCGATGGATTATTTTATTTTTCAATAATCTGTTGCACTCAGATGTACATCACAATAAAGAAGAAAAGATCTATCACTACTTCCATTTTATTATCAGACACCCATTTTCCACAAGTTGGTATGATTCTTTAGGGTCTTCATGAAATGTCTGTAAAATACTTAATACTTAAATGCTCACTTTTACATCCAACTACAAAACTACAGTCGCTAGTCGCTACAGCTGCTCGAGCGCGGAGAAAATGGCGGGACAGCATACAACTGGTTGAGGGCGGAAATATGTTAATATGGGACAGTCCGTCAGCAGACTTGATAACTGAGACTGCTTAGGTTTTTTGGGGTGAATGGATTTTTATCATTGTAGGGTGGTTGTGTTCACACACTGCTAAGACACATTAATATGCAAACACCATGTAAACGTGAATTTTGCATCTGATGTCCCCTTTAAGATTTTTTTATTTCTTAATTTTACAAGGTAAGGTAAAATTAGGTTGCCAACTTTCCATTGAATACAAAAATCCCATACTGACTCCTGAAACAGATGTCTGGACATTTCCTGTGAAGGAACAGTAGAAGCTAGAGCTCTTGGCTCTTAATTGAATACCTCTGCCACACTACAGTGTTACTGTATATGTAGACACCTTGACTTGGACAAATAGTGGAAAACACATTTATTTCTTCTAGCAGCTTGCTGACAGTTGGCCAATAATCTCAGAAAAAAATCATTTTGTTATTCAATATTTATATTATTAAATAATTAGAAAATTCAGTACAGCTCAATACTTGCCATATCAGCTTTTTCCATTTATTCAAAAACAAAACTGTAGACTTCAGTTTGTTTTAAGCACTGCAGTGAGATTTAGAAATATCTTGATAACATTCTTCAGCGAATGGGGAGTCTGTCGTCTATGCGGCTGTGAAAATGATGTGAAGGGAATGTGTCAGTAGTATAATCTCAGTTTCCTGTGCTGTAACTCCACTCCTGCTCAGCTCAAACAGTGAATTATTCAGTGCCCGCAAACGCAGTGACAGAGAAAGAGACAAGGAGAAATAGATAGGAAGACATAATAATAAGAAAGCAAGAGAAACAAAGAGCACATGAAAATAAATTTAGCTTCTAAGTGTGTGTGTGTGTATGTGTGTGTGTGTGTGTGTGTTACCCGTGCGGCAGTATGGGTAGGCGTTCCAAGCTTTCTCATGAATGTTCAGTGCTGACGCTGGTGCAAGCATTCGTACAAATGACGGGACTTTACTGAAAAAGCAAAAATGCAATTAGAAGTAGACTATAGACAAAATAAACAGAAATGTGTCCTTTTTTGTTAAAATTCTTTCTCCAAAACTTTGCTCTGTTTGTTTGAGCAATTTAACCAGGTCAACATAGCAATAGTGGCTCAACCAATGGTGTGAGTTTGGGGCGGGGCTATCTGTTTGCCTGACCAATAACAGACAAGGGAGGTATTTTGGAAATCTGTTTGAAAACATTCATTATTTTTTCATTTCTTTTGACTTAAATCACAGACGTCACTTTTACCGTAAAGCGTTAGTTAACAGAAAATGAAGCAAAAGGAAAAGACAAGCACCAAAATGTCAAAACAGCATCATAAAAGTACATAAAAATAGTCTGTATCATTCATAGTCTGAGTGTTCTACAGTAATTTGATAGTTTTATGTGAGGAACCAACAAAAGACCATTTTTATTGTGCTTTTTGTCATTTTTTGAGCTCAACAGTTCATTGTGTAGAAAATAACAACCAGGACATTCAGCTAAACTTCTTTATTTGTGTAAGATCAAACGCCATACTGGTTTGGAACAGCTTGAGGATGTGTAAATGATTAACCTATTTTTTTAGTGCACTATAACATTAATCTAGCACATTTTATTATTACACTTGTGTGTCTGTGGGTTTGTGTAATTGTGAGCACCTCTGCAGGTGGTAGATTTTGTGTGTGTACTGTCCCTTCTCTCCATCCTTCTCATAGGGTTCGTTCTTCAACACCTCCACACCCTCTCCTCCACCCGTCTCGTTCTTACTGGCCTCCGCTACCGAGTACAGCTGCCCGACCTGATACTGTGGGACACACAGAAATGCATTCCACAATCTCAAACTTCATAAGCATGTCTGTATTCAAATATGAGGAATATTTGAACACTACAGTCTATTAATCCTGGTTTCTCCTGTTTCTGTGTGTGTGTGTTTCCCTCCTCTTCTGCTGAACTATGCTGAATAAACAATAGCCTCTTTCATATCTTAATCACATATAATCCTGTAGGGAATATAGTTAGAATATAAACACACGCACACATCGTACAGAGTAAACAGTAAACACTGCAAAAAGTTCAGTCAAAATTCAGATTATAATCTACTAATGATGCTCATTTTCAATTTAAAGCTTATGACTGGACATTTAGACATCGCTAAAGCAATTTAGATTTTTTTTTTTATAGCCATACAATAATCTTGCTGCTTAATTACAAAAATACATAAATCAATTTAAAAGAGCATTCACAATATACACTTGGCACATGCCCCCTAAATTTGAATGGGCATGACAATATAAAATGAGAAAACTTGAAGATATTGTTTAGTAAAATTTGTCTATTTTGTTGTACGCTATTAAAAATAAAGGTTCAAAAAATTTGTGCGGCAGTATGGGTAGGCGTTCCAAGCTTTCTCATGAATGTTCAGTGCTGACGCTGGTGCAAGCATTCGTACAAATGACGGGACTTTACTGAAAAAGCAAAAATGCAATTAGAAGTAGACTATAGACAAAATAAACAGAAATGTGTCCTTTTTTGTTAAAATTCTTTCTCCAAAACTTTGCTCTGTTTGTTTGAGCAATTTAACCAGGTCAACATAGCAATAGTGGCTCAACCAATGGTGTGAGTTTGGGGCGGGGCTATCTGTTTGCCTGACCAATAACAGACAAGGGAGGTATTTTGGAAATCTGTTTGAAAACATTCATTATTTTTTCATTTCTTTTGACTTAAATCACAGACGTCACTTTTACCGTAAAGCGTTAGTTAACAGAAAATGAAGCAAAAGGAAAAGACAAGCACCAAAATGTCAAAACAGCATCATAAAAGTACATAAAAATAGTCTGTATCATTCATAGTCTGAGTGTTCTACAGTAATTTGATAGTTTTATGTGAGGAACCAACAAAAGACCATTTTTATGGTGCTTTTTGTCATTTTTTGAGCTCAACAGTTCATTGTGTAGAAAATAACAACCAGGACATTCAGCTAAACTTCTTTATTTGTGTAAGATCAAACGCCATACTGGTTTGGAACAGCTTGAGGATGTGTAAATGATTAACCTATTTTTTTAGTGCACTATAACATTAATCTAGCACATTTTATTATTACACTTGTGTGTCTGTGGGTTTGTGTAATTGTGAGCACCTCTGCAGGTGGTAGATTTTGTGTGTGTACTGTCCCTTCTCTCCATCCTTCTCATAGGGTTCGTTCTTCAACACCTCCACACCCTCTCCTCCACCCGTCTCGTTCTTACTGGCCTCCGCTACCGAGTACAGCTGCCCGACCTGATACTGTGGGACACACAGAAATGCATTCCACAATCTCAAACTTCATAAGCATGTCTGTATTCAAATATGAGGAATATTTGAACACTACAGTCTATTAATCCTGGTTTCTCCTGTTTCTGTGTGTGTGTGTTTCCCTCCTCTTCTGCTGAACTATGCTGAATAAACAATAGCCTCTTTCATATCTTAATCACATATAATCCTGTAGGGAATATAGTTAGAATATAAACACACGCACACATCGTACAGAGTAAACAGTAAACACTGCAAAAAGTTCAGTCAAAATTCAGATTATAATCTACTAATGATGCTCATTTTCAATTTAAAGCTTATGACTGGACATTTAGACATCGCTAAAGCAATTTAGATTTTTTTTTTTATAGCCATACAATAATCTTGCTGCTTAATTACAAAAATACATAAATCAATTTAAAAGAGCATTCACAATATACACTTGGCACATGCCCCCTAAATTTGAATGGGCATGACAATATAAAATGAGAAAACTTGAAGATATTGTTTAGTAAAATTTGTCTATTTTGTTGTACGCTATTAAAAATAAAGGTTCAAAAAATTTTGTTTTTTCAGCAATGCAATAGAAGAACGATTTTAGGTTTCCCAAAGAACAATTCAGCAAACAGGTCTTAAACCCTTTTTTTTTTTTTTACATTTGAATATAAAGACCCTTTTCCACTATAAAGAACATTTTGTCCAATTGAATGATTCCATGGATGTTAAAGGTTCTTCAGGGAACCATACATGCCAGTAAAGAACCTTTATTTTTAAGAGTGTAGATCGAGTGTGTAGACTGAGAGATTTAGTGTCCTGACACGCGTACACTGTCAGCAGCCTTCACTCAGAGTCTAAGCTGAGCCAGCAGCAAAGACTCGAGCTAAAACACCTCCTGAATCTTACCTAGAAACAGCCCAGCTGCTTAAATGTGGGCATTCATCCCTAAACACACCGTCCATCACACATAAGCGTGTGTGTGTGTGTGTGTGTGTGAGAGAGAGAGAGAGCGAGAAAGAGAGAACAGAAGAAAGAAAATGACGACACAAAGTCTATTTATACCAGTTGGCACCAGAAAATGACAGATAGAGGAGAAAAGGGGAAAAAAAGAAAGAGAGGGAGGAGAGCAAGGTGACACACTCCAATCCATAGATAGATAGATAGATAGATAGATAGATCCAACCTACATCACATATTATCATCCCACTCGCACTGCAAACCACGCACACACACACAGCATTGGACAGGGTTTTGTCTGCAGCGGATGTGCTATTTTTTGTATTAGTGTGCCATACATCTATTTTTAAAGTGACAGTGTATAAAACTGTAATCTTTTTGAATGAGCAGCATGTGATAATGTGTAGGCTACATGAGAGTGTGGTTAAGCCCTGGTTATAGTTCACTGATAGTGATGGACAGGCTAAAAGATGTGAGCTCAGACTAATCGACAGGCTAACAGAGGGAAAGGATGTCTCATGCGCCAGCCAGTCTACAATGACAGACAGCTTATGGTGTTAGTGTGCGTGTATGATTATAAACAGGAGGAGGAAGAAGGGTACACAGTAAAATCAGCAGTGTAATATTTGCAGTGTTAAAAGTTATGAATTCCCAAAGAGTTGAATTAACAATCAACAGTGTTAAACAGTACTCATGCTCAGTGTTGTTATATGGTGTAATTTCACTTTTACACTAAAAGTGCAGAATAAAAAACCCGCCGAATTGTCTGGACTCCGCCCTTTTATCTAATGCAAAACTCTGAAATTAGAGCGCGTTTAAAACTTCCATTCGCCCTAGTCTTAAGTGTGAACTGTGTAATCTGTACGTTGCTTGTTCTCAGCGCTGAATATCATGTCTGTCTGAATCACTCAACCAATTAGTTTTAAAATTCATTCAGAAACTAAAAACACTTTGTGTTGCTCTGAGATGCGTGACACTTCTGCTTTGACATTGTTTGGGACTGTTACATTGTCGTATTAAGTAGCTGACAATATTGTGCCTAAAATGTAAGTTACTCAATCCACTTTATTTTTAACGTAAGAGAAGTTGTGGACCTTTTCAACTAGAATGTGTATGGCTTCCGGTGTCAGACGATTCCAGTTACTTTTGCTGTACAATAATACAGTTAAGTAGTATTTATTATCATATTATTTTATCATTATCATAAACACACTAGGTTTACTGCACTGTTATTCTAATTGTTTATTTAACGTCTAAGTCTTGAATGAAATCTTGCATTGACAGGAAATCGTTTACTTCCACATTGAAAATAAAGGTTGTTATTAACTTCTTTTTTTATTGAACTTCTGCATAAAATCAATATTATAATCACAATCTTGCAGTATTGCAGTACACTGCAGTATTTATAAATACTGCAGTGTACTGCAATACTGCAAGATTGTGATTATAATAGAAAGGAAAACTTGAAATCGCATCATATGACCCCTTTAATGAATGCAATGCAATGCAAAAGCTGCTTTTTAACATTTTAAACTCCCACTGGGTGCAAGGAGGAGACTCTGACCTGACACGAAGGGCTTACATTAAAATGTCTCGTCCTAGACATATTTTATGTGACAGAACTGATAAGACTATTATCCTAATGAATCTTGGCTGTCAGTACTTTTTTGCAGAATATGCTGAGGTATGTAAAAATGAGTGCAGATGAAGAGGGGCCTCACAAGGTGGAAGCAGCCCTTTAATTTGTATAATCTGGTCTAGAGGAAGGGTTTGTCCCCCAGGGCAGATCCCACCTGCTCATATGGCACCAAAGATACCAGGAAATTACTAGGCCATGATTTATAAAGACATAAACAGCTGGAGTCAGGTAGTCTGAAAGCAGCTGAGATGCTTTATGTGATCAGATTGGTAATTATGTGACTGGATCTAGAAATAGTTTAATAATAGCTGGAATACCTGAAATTTGCTGAAAACTTACTCACCCACAGGCCATCACTTGGTCACCAATGGATGGTAAACGGGTGCCAACAGAAATGAGACGGCTTATAAAACATCACAATAATCCAAAAGTAATCCACATGACTCCAGTCATGTGTGTTGTGAAGTGAAAAGCTGCATGTTTGTAAGAAACAAATCCATCAAGACATTTTAAATTCTGTCCATAATTCATAGTAACACTTCCTCCAGTAAAAAAGCCCATCCCCCGTTGTCCTCTCACATCAAAATTCACAGACATATTTGTTTAGACCAGTTTTGGACTGTTTTCGCTTGTAAATAGTGCTTGATCTGTGAATATTTCTCTCCTGATTCAAATTAGAAAGCAATATTATGGATAGAGGACTCATATTTTAGCCAGAAGCAATGGTGTGAATTAGGGTTTTGACGGTGAGGAAATTTTCCCACCGGTTAATCGACGTGTGACAACACCGGTAATACCGGTATCACCGTGGGGGTGGGGGCGTTTCCTCTTTTCCTCGCTTTCCTTCACTTTTAAATAGCTTGTAAAAGCTGCGTGCACATTTTACTTCCACTTTCAAATAGTGGCAATTCGGGGTAAAGCAATTGTTCGTTTGAATTTTCCCTCTTTTCCTTCGCTTTTAAATAGCTTAAAAGCGCC